CAGAGCAAATTGTGAGATGGGGGTGGGTGTTTAAACATTTGGGGGGGGGGGGTTTTTAATGGGGCCATGTGAGAGCTTTTGCTCTACCAGGCCTTTTAATCATAGATTTTGACTGCATTCACGTTCATGTTTAAGCCTCGTGTATACTTGGACAAATTGTTAGACACACATGACATTCTTCGGGTGTGAAGGAGGTTACTGCGAGCACTTCAATGATCAAATCAATAAATTATAGATAGATATATTGGATGATATAGAAGATTGGATGTTTTGCCACTCCCATCCTCCCCCTGACCCAACCTTACCTCGAGCACCAACCTCAACCTCCATGGCATTAATACTCTTAGACTCATCCCTTAGTTGACCTACAGGGTTAACATACCTAATTGGAGCACCCCTACTCCGTAACAAGTAGGGCATCTTCTTCAGGATGAATAACTGATATAGGGACAGGAGAAAAGATTTTCCTAAACTCCAAACTAGATGCGTAGGACGATTAGCTATGAAGAATGTGTTATTCTTGGTTATTCCCGAATAAAGAACCATGCTGTCGTCCAAACTCCTGATAGAAAAAAGGAGGAAAAAGAATGAGTGGGGTAACAGTTAAAGTACCACTATAAAATGCCCTCAGGACGAGCTGGGTGGGAAGATTTCCTTCGGATAAAAAGAAATGGGGATAATGAAACTTGGCCATTTAATAAAAAAAAAAAAGGAGGGCGGCCATCATGGGGAAGGGAAAATGCACCCTCGTTAAAAGCATTAAAAGTGTCATTTAATGCCCCATGATGCACCATTCGTGCACCTAGCTCACGACTCTTGTATTCGAAGGAAAAAAATGCAACAAAAGGTCCAAACTTCACTAAAATAAAGCGTTTGGATCTTACAGACAGATAGTTGGTATATGAATTTAGGAAATCGAGTAGGACTATTACAACTTCAGAACTAAACATTTAAAATAATGAACATCACTATACGTACGGATACTCACAATGGGGTGGGTGGGTAATTTTTTTTCTTTTTGTTATTGCGTGGGACCCACCCTCATGTGGGAGGGTGTAAGAATTCTGTAAAGTGAATAGTTATGTACAAATGGATTAATCTTAAAATAATATTGGAGGTAATACCAAAGAGAACGAATTAGGATGTATCTGGATCAATTCGGCCCCTTGTAGGTCCACTAGGACATTATTGTCGTCATTGTGAAACATCATCATTACCAAACTGAATACTTGTCTCCCCAGTGAGTCCACCACTCTTGGAACACCAGCTGAAGTGAGTGGCATCAGCACCTTCTTTCTCAGCTAGGAATTAGTAATGATTATCTCTAAGCTAGGCCTAATGATTTTGGCTAGCCGAATCAACGTCCAATCAATAGTCTCGAATCTAGGGCGGTGACACATACTTTAAAGTTAGCACTGTAGCTAATAGGACTTTGGGGAGCCAAGCTGTATGGTTGTGAGCCCATAAATGAAGGCAAATAAGGAAATGGACTCACAAAAATACTCTTAAAGCATTCAAATTAAGACAATTACCTTCTTTTTGTTACTTTCTAGTAAATTACCTCTTTCCAAGTACGACTTAAGTTGATCCAATTTGGCCACATAATTTTTAGACATCAAAACAAATAAGAATCTCATTAAAAATTGTGAAATTTTAAAGAGTTTGTTATGTGTATTTTAAGCTTGAAAGTCATCCAAATCTTTTGAAATTCATTTATTCGTAAAGTCCTTATAAATTTGCGAGTTATTTAAGAGACCTAGTTTTAAAAAAAATGAAAAAAAAAACCATGAAAATCTCCATTGGGAACACTTATATTTAGAACTTTAAAATACATTAAAACATGCGGACACCCCTATGAACTTCTCGAATTGGTGCTGAACATTCCAATTCTTAGTATTGAAATACTTGGATCGATCCAGTCGACGCCCAAGCCTAACCAATAAAATGTAATTACAGTACTCTCATTGCTGATCTATCTTGAAAACAAGTCAATTATTAAGATGTGCTAGTTTAACATTACATGGCTTGTAGACTTGGGCAAAATTGACCAAAAAAATAAGATAGTTTCAAAGACGGTTTAAACAATTGGGGTTAACGCAAAATCTTCAAGGGGTATTTTCATGAACAATAATGAAAAAAATTAGAAAGCAAACCATCAATGACTAAAAACTTTGTGGTTATTATCAATAATGTGATAGCTCAATATCAGCTAGTGATGCAAGCGGAATTGTTGACAGTATGTGATTACCGAAGATACCTCGTCAGCAATGTTGAAAATTACCTACGGAAAGCGCCACTCGCAAAATATTATTCGTTTATATATTTTTTTTTTTATAAGATATTGACAAGATGAGTATTGAAAAATCATTCCCAATCTTTTTTTCTCGTGTTATCAATTACCGAAATAATTTTTCACTAGTAAAAACAAAGCAAAAATACCAAATATGTAAAGTTTGGAGCCTTATTCGACCACCTAACTTGTCTAATGCTTGAGTCGGCTTAGATAAGTCTATGTAAACTCGACCCAGCTAGACCCATTTTTAGACGGGCTAACAAGTCGAAATTGATGACAACTTCAAACCAAACTTGTGAGCAAGACTATTCCAATCTTCTAGACTTTCTGCAACTGGAGACACCATCAGTAATGGAGTAATGCTACATAACATCATAAACACCAGTATAAGTGGTGGTGGATTCCTCGTTTGCATGGAAAACTTCTGTTCTAAAAATAAAAGAACATACATAGTAGTGTAGATGTATGTCTATTATGATGTGTAGCATATGTGGTGTTATTACATAATAGTACTCATAGTGACAGGGGCGGAGCCAGGAATTCTTGTCAGGAGGGGCACGACTTATACATGTTGAACGTCGAGTTTTTGTCATGAATGTAATGATTATAAAAATAACTCTCTTCACATTATTCGATGTCGCCCCAACAACATTTACGTTGTCTAAATCAGTTTTTCTTTGAAAGTATCTCTTCATAAGATTTCAACAATTTCATTCAACAATACCCAAACTTCACTAATTTCATTCAACGATACCCAAACTTCACCAAAACAATTTCATTCAACAATACCCAAACTTCACTAATTTCATTGAAGGATACCCAAACTTCTCCTATTTCAAATCAACAATATCCAAACTTCACCAATTTCAACTCAAAAATTTCAGTCAGCCATATCTACTCAGCACTTAGCATAACAGCATTCAGCATTCGGCAATACCTCAGCCCAAATTTCACCAATTGGCCAATTTCTACTGCACACAACACAACAATATCCAAAATGTAGTATTAAAAAAAAAGAACAAAATTCCAAATCACAGGCTAGCAGGCAGCAACAATACCCAAAATGTAGCAATTTTATCAAAGAACAAATCCAATATTATCTCAAGACTCAAGCTACCAATTACCATCACCAATAATCCAAGCCTATAGAAATTAAGAAAATACCTGATTCGATTTCGGGGGGAGGAGTCGAGGAGAGAAGTCACTCATTGGCTCATTGCAGAGGAGGCGGACTGGCGAACTCGGAGGCTAGAGGAAAATCCAAATCGCATAAATTAAAGGTTTCATTTTTCTTAACCAACACAAAAAAACTCAAGGGAGAAACAAGAAAAGAAAAGAAAGGAAAAAAAAAAGTTTTTTCTACCTTCTGCAAATCTGAAGTTCTGCTGAGCTATGGAGGTGGAGACGGTTGTTGAGCAGAGGCTGCGAAGATGCCAGAGTGGTCAGTGGAGCTGTGGTCCTGTGGAGGTCAGTGGAGCTGTGGAGGTGGAGGTGGAGGTCAGTGGAGCTGTGGGGGTTACAGGTCAGTCGAGCAGAGGAGAGGAATTGTGAGTGTGATATGAATTGTGAACGTGGTTTAAAATTTTGGAATTGGGCTCAATGTTTTGGGTTGTTTCTCTTAGGCTGGGACGGGGATAGCTTACAACTAAAA